TACCGGGAGGAGAATTCGTCGGACAAAACGCTGTCCTTCGAAAGCGACGTACATCTTCCGGCAAAGAATAGCGATCGGAACGGAGAGGGTGGAAAAGGGAGAGGGGATGGAGGGAGTGTCCAGGAGAAGATGGTTTCCGGAAACGAGACGTGTTGCAAATGTTTAGAGCCGACGGTTCCGGTTAATGGAGGATTCTCCGCCGTTCTTACGCGAACTTTCGGCGCACTCAAGCGCGCTGCCTTTTTACTGGAAGCTTGGAAGGGAAAATATATCCGCGAGAGAGAAAATGCGAAGTGAATTGCAGCTCGCGAAACGAAGCGCGCGTTAAAAGGAGACCGATCTCCGAGAGGGAAATTGGCGCGGCACGTTTTTACTCCTACGCGTATTAAGTTACAGGACAGGTTATACCGCGCCGTTTTCTTGGAAGAAATGAGAAAAAATGCGTTTGTGCGCCTCCACCCCTTTCTCCCCTTCTTCTCGCGAGAGCGCGTCGCCTTCGGGTAAATACTGGGATAGACGAAATTAGTCGAAAGTGGATTAATTAAGTCGTCCCGACCGCCGTTATATTTACTTACCAAAGCCAACATAGTTTGACCTATTCGCTTTCTTCGTCGCAACACAATCCGGAGAACAGACAGCTGACTAATAACAGCTGACGGAATATTTAAGTCAAAAAATGCAGGCTTAAGTAGAAATAATTAGCTAACTGAGATAAACATCAGTTAACACGAAGTAAATGTTACACGAGCATGCCGAAACATTGAGTCTCCGAGTCATTCCTGCCTCGTTTCGATTTCGTTTTAAACCGCTCGAATATTTGTACAATCTTTCATCGTACTTTAGCACAGCAGCTACATGATGCAATTAGGTCGCGAGATCCTTTCGTTGTCAGTCAGAATAAGCTTGAGCTAACTGAGCAAAAGCCTGATATTAAACGTCGTAACTGCGAGACTTGAGAAATGCCGACGAACTGGTTTTAAATGCGTAAATTAACGCGGAAAATTGCTACCGCGCTCTCGGCATTTCGCGTTCAATCCAATGTAAACGTAAATTTTTACTTTATCTCTTAAATAAATCTTTACTTTATCTATTTTTAAGATACTCGCTTTGTAAAACTCGCTTTGTAATACTCCTTCGTCATGTAAATAAATTAAATAAATAATCATGCTCCCTTCGATAACGCGTCGTCGTGGATTGCTGTGAATTTAATCAGGATTCGACTTTAATTAAATATCATTCGGTAGAAATAAAATCTTTTATTTCTAAGCTTCCGCTTAAGTATTCGCTGCAAATCGAATTGTATCGTTGTCCGAGCATCCTTGACGAGAAACTCATTTATTTTCGAAAACGACAGCAGATGCGGCGAGTCTTTAATCGAGGAAAGATTCAGAGAAAGATATCCCGGCGAGTTCCAAAAAGTGGCATCGAAGTGGTTTGATCTATCCGACGATTGTATCGCATGCAAGTGCAAAAGGAGAAGGAGGGAGGGGGAGGGGGGGGGAGGAGAAAGAGAACATAAAAGTTTCCTTCCTCTGCTGACCGAGAAAACCTGCTTTATTCGAATGCGCGTAGAGGGAAATATACGCCTGTAGAGAAAGCAGGATGCGAGAAGACATAACGACCGAGGTGGAATCTAGTAAAAGTAAATCTCACGAACCGCGTTCTCCATTTCAACTGGTGATTTCGCGAAAGCGTATAGAATCGTCATTTTATTTGCGACAAGAAGTTCGACGGGCAATAATCGGGATCAGCGGACGCCCGACGCTCCTCGGATTCTCCGATCTTAATAAGCCTTCTAAGATTTAGAACGACTTTAATGGAATTATTATGATCGGTCCCGCTCGACGGAGGCGAGGGCGAATTAGACTCTATCGCTTTATCGTCCCGACTCGATTTCGCCGCCGTTCCTGTCAAAAACTCGTCTCGAGGTGAAACCGAGATAGATTTCAATTGGAAAATATCACGAAAACGCTTTGGACTCTGCTCACTGTAAAGTGAAATTGTGGATGTATCCAACCGAAAAATCTGGAGGGAAACGCCTTATATTCGCGTCAATTGAAACATACAAAGTCGAATGTGTTTGAGTAAAAAAAGAGAAAATAAAAAACAAATTCCTTTTGCAAAGCGTAGAGTATTACGTTCGCGCTTGTTACACGGCGCTGTTCGACCTCTTTCCGATTTCCCGATTCCAGGGTTGGAAACCTCGAAACACGCTTGTCTTTGGAGACCAAAGCGCGCGCCGGGGAGAGAATTAAATCCCAGGATTTCGTGGAGTCAGATGTCGTATGTCCATCGCGGTGAATAGAACTTGGCTGTGACCAGCGACCGTCTCCATAAGACAGCCCGAATACCGGCGTCCTTGTAAGAGGACCGTACACCTCCCTCTCGGAGGAGAGTGCAGACTTCCGACGAAGTCGACACTCCCGGTGTTTTCCGTCACCTTGTAACCTCCTTTCTCCGGTTTTCAATGCGAGAATCCGTTCTCGCGCGTACCTCTCCTTACGTAAGTCTATCTCTCGCACGGACTTTTCTCCCGGGGATTTATTATACCCTCATTCGCGAAGTTTTTGAAAAACTTTCGGCTTGCGCCTTTAGATACCTATTCCTCCCGGCGGACCGCTTATACGTTTCTCGCGAAGGTTAATTTTCCGGTTAAATTATCCGATTTCCTTAAAAGAGACCCGAGATTTTATATACGTGAACGTGAAACGCGATCGGCTTCGATCGCGACTGATAATTCCACGCGCGATCGGATTGCAGACGCATTCTTCCCGATGCGACAGCAGTCTAAGAAGCGCCGTGTCGCATTAAACGGAGTATTTCGTGCTGTATCCGAGCTTATCCTCAGTTTGACATAAAGGCACGTGTATACGACGGGCAAGATGCATTATTCATACAAGAAAATATCCCCACTGACAACAAGCAGGAAAACGCAAAGCTTCCGTGATCCTTTTATCTCCGAGCGTTTCGCAGCCATAAAGTCAGCGTATAATCCCGATTTCTCGTATATCGTGTCAATATCATCTTGATTAAGCAGATACGTCGATTCATCGATCGTTTAACTTTCCAGAATATTTCGCACACATATGTAGCTTCCCAACAAATAAAATTCTACACGTATTCTAACATACACATTGAAAAATGACATAACAAATGTTTGTAATTTTTTTTGCAATATTTCACACGTGTTATGTATAGTTTTTCGACAAATAAAATTCTAATAGTAATAAGAGGCTATCTAGATATAAATCAATAATTCTAATTAAAAGCGACGAGAGAAACTCTTATTATTTTTATTATCGAGATGTTGAATTTCTCCTCTTCACTTTTTAATTAAATGACACACAAAAACGTACATACAGGAATCAAAAGAAAGTAAAACAAATCGAGGAATTTTCTGTCCTATCACACTCTTTTCTGATATAAATAAGCGAAATGCCTTACAATGATCATGGTGCAATTCCGATCGAAGTACTACAGATACACATGCGATTTCTTCTCGAGCTATTCATCGAACCTATTCTCGATTCATATATAGGTATGTATACGTATTTTATAGTCACATCTCCTACGATATTGCATTCCGTGCGGGGATAACCGATAGAGACTTTCTTGATTTGCATTTCATACCCTCCTATGTATCAGCTTAAATGACCGCATTATACATACCCGTACCCGCGGGTATTATGGGGTTGATGTCATTGAGCTCTATACATTTTTCACATTCATGGTAAGCGTGTCGGAAATTTCGATGAGGGGCAAGCAGTGCGGGAATCGGAATTTATTTTATTACAGAAAGATCGAGGATTGCACTCTCCGCGGGAAACCATTGAGCTTAAAGTTTTAGGTCTCCTGATTCCTATTTCATGATTCTCTCGTATAAATCAAATTTCTCATATAAATCAGATCTGTTTGCTTATTTATTTAGTTATTATTTATTTATTATTCGCAAGCCTCGTCTCAGCGTCTTCCGTGCAATTTATAGGCAGGCAGTAACAAGATCGTACTATATAGGGTGTCGATTTATTCCTACATTGTTTCACAATAACAAAAAATTAACCTTTTATTCGTATTTCGTATTTTTGTCATAACTTTTGAATAAAAGTATAAATGATCTATGTTTATATATATTTTTTTTTATTCAGACTCATAGAATATACTAACAAAACTTGGCCATTAAAACCTGGATCATCATGTATATATATATATATTAAGAAAAAAAGAAGTAATAAATAATGATAAAGGAGATTTATAAGATCATTTATGAGAACGTAATAATTATGACTTTTAAGTAATAACTTGAGACATAATTATGAAGCCGAGAGAAAATGTCAAAGTCAGAATTTGATAAACTTATAATATCAGAGAACTCGTCCCACATTAAGAGATCGTAACTAATTTGAAAGATTATTCGAATATCTTAATCCCGTTCTGAATTTCTACCAAAAGTGAGAGATCTTGAATTCTAGATTCTCTAGAAAGATTAAGGGATCGACAGTGGGAACGCATTAAACCCTCGAGCTACTCAACCGTGAAACATCTGCGTAGCGGAAAACTTATTAATATGTTCTATGCATAAAATATGCATGGAACACTCACGTATTCATGATACATGTCGCGGTCATTACGAAGTTTTCCGTTCCATTAAGTATCATATCCTAAGGAACCACCAGGGTGTAGTTTGTAAACTGCCTGTCGTCTCGCCCGAGTCTCTATCGTCTCGTTTAAGAAAACGGAGCAAATCCTTCTCGTTTCCCTTGTGCAGGAAAGAAAGTTGACTGAAAACTGCCGCGGTAATCCGCTCGAAAATTGCCTGGATCGCGAGAAAATATGCTATGGTCGATATCCGAGCGCTTCGCGCTACCGTAGGTAGGTCCGCCGCTGGAATTTATCTGACGATCCAGGGCGTGGAGAAGAGAAGCAGAAAAGAAGCTGCCTTTAAGCTACGCGACTCGTAGACTTAAATGAAACGATCGGGGACTCGCGTTTGTTTCACTCACCCGAAAGGCGTCTCGCAATTCCTGCTCCTCCTGATGCTGATCCGAGGGCGCCGCCGTGCTTGCACCAATGTTGCTGACGATCTCGACGAATTCTTCGAAGCTGACATTTCCGTCACCTAAAAAAGTCGTACGACATAATAATAACAAGAGATATAATAAGATCATAATAATGATGAGACAATTAAGTTAATTAATAAGTTGAATAAATTAATTTTTATATAATAATCAGATAATAATAATTAGGTAATTAAGTTTTTGAATAAGTTAATTTTTTTTGAGACTTGAAAATAACGTGGCAAGTTTTAAAGAGCAACAAAGGAAAACAACGATCTTCTACTTGATCCGAGAGGTTCTTTAAGAAGAATGAGATGATATTGCATGTACAATAAATGGCGACAACAAACTCGACGATCTTTTTAATTAAATGCACGACTTAATTGCGCATGTAAAATAGAAAAGGTCCTGATTGCGGAAGGAGAAAATTTTTCTCGTCATTTAAATGCAGAGCCAACATTCCTGAGCTCTCAGAAGGGGCTGAAAGGGAGAGTCTCCTAATTAAAGAAATTAATTCACTCTTAATCTAGACATTGAGACTTTCCTCAAAGACTTTTCTCAGTTGCTTTTTCAACGGAGCAACTAGAATACGATAAAAGATATGGCCAATCGTTTCGTAGTTTATTATTGGAATTTCGTCAATATTAAGTATTGTCCTCGGAGTGTATTCTACATCCATTGAGCAATCTACGTCGATCCGCGTCGAAACGCGAGAAATCTTTCCCGCATTCCGGTAAAGCAGTTCCGCGACGTAAGTGCTTTCCAACGGCTCTTAAGCGATCGCAAAACCCCTTTATTCCACTATACGTGCCATAATAAGAGGGAAGTACACGGCAATATTCGCACAAAAGCGTAAGGGAAAGGATAGGTGTGGAAAACGAACGAACTTTACACCTCGCAATTCGAAGTAATGTCCTTGGATGTTGCGAATTTGCGAAAGAACCGTGATAACTTTCCCGCCATTTTTAAGACAAACAGAGAAGAGAGAGAGAGAGAGTTTCTTAGCCGAGTGGATTTTCAATAGTCGCGTTTTGCTTCGTGCGAACGTTTAATTATGATTTCTCACGCGCGGCACTTCCCATTAATTCACGGGTTCAGATCGTAATTCTTTCATTTACAACGGCGGCTTAATGAATATTAAAACTTCCTTTATCATAATTTTGCGCTCTTAAAAATAATTTAATCTACATATCGACATTAATAATGTCGAAACAAGTGGGTCATATGAATAAAAGTGAGACGAGTGCCTTCGGCAAAAAGTAGAAAATATAACAAAGCGCACATTCTACAATTTTTGCGCACAAAAGATCATTTGCCTTTATTACTACTACTCATCGCATAAAGTATTTCGTTCTCGGCCATATAAAAGGTTGATACATTGTACGTTTTATTGTTCGCATTTTTCCAAAGCATTTCCTATAACTTTCATTTTTACAAGCACTTATGAATAAACGAGCGCACTCACGTGCGTGTGCGTGTAGGTGTATTCCTGCTCCATTTCGCCCAAATGTTTTTTCGTTACGCCGCATTAACGACGCGGGCGAGACAAAAATTCACGAGTTCGTAAACAAATAATTGAGATGGGACGTGTATCGATTGTTGTTGTTTGGGGGAAGATCGAGTTAGCGGATCGCATTTTCGACGTTCGGCAATATCTGGAGGAGATAAATCACAACCGGACGCAAAACACATTTACGAAGCATCGGCCGCGTCGAGGATCCGTTCAAACGATTCGACCGCCATGCCGCGCCGGCTAATTTGCATAATTTGACCACCGCTTAAATAAACGCGATGTTGTTCGCGCATACGGTTTACAATCTATTTCGCCGTCCGTCAGCCATCCTCGAAAGCGAGAGTCAATTTCAGCGCAGCTGCAGATGGATCCGCGGTGGACTCGCAGCGTGATTGTATATGGTGATGAAGTCACGTATTATACAACACGTAATTGCAATTCTACATTGTACACCGTCTAATCAAGGGAAAGATCGAATTTTAGACTCGGGGCGTTGCTAAAAGGAACAAAAGTCATTCGATTGCATTGTTATACTTTAAATTGTAGTTTTGTATATTAAAATGACGCTTGACGCTTTTTAAAGGAAAAGAGACGGGAGCGCTTCTATTTTACTACAATTTCTCTTATTCCAGGAGTTAATGGCATTGGCACAAATGACACTTTTTTCAACTAAAATTTTCATACGAGATGATTTTCATGCGGGATGCAGTTAATCCATTAATGTCCGGAGAAAAAAGAAGAACAGTCTCATAATGGTGCTACTTTTGGTACAACAAATTTTAATAAGTTAACAAATTTTATTATAGTTATTTTTTGTTATGTCACCTCCTTAAAAAAATCCGAAATTTAATTGTGAAAATTTATCATACAATTATAGCAAACAAAGAATTCAAGAAGACATCTAATGTTATAAAGCGCACAATAAAAGCTATATATTTTAAATTAAGCGTTTATAATATTATAAGCGTTTCGATCCATTGAAAGTGCTTTTCCGTTTTTCTTCCGCTCTGAATTTCTGGTCTACAGTTCCGCAAAGTTATCGCTATCAAATGCAATTCTATCCTATGCTACGGTCGATAAGTTCTTATTAGGTTTCTCAGACGTGTACAATAACGTTTGATTCGAGAGAAATATAAGATGTAACGTAAAAGAGACAAAATTTCCAATCTATAAAGAGTAACAATGGACAAGCTTTAGTTTGTCACGCAATAACGCTCACAATAGCGCTATCGTATTTAGTATAACAATTGTAATAAAAAATATCTCAAATTATTATAATATCTTTTCATTTCTCATTTGTTTATTGAGCGTTTCTGATTTTTCCATTCTAGATGGTTCAATTCCAGAACAAGAAAAACACAAATATCTAGATATTATCCATCAATCTTCTTGCATATCGAATCTGTTATTTGCTGACATATCTGCGGAGGGGCTTAACTTTTCAAATTTTCCTTACATCCGCGCATGATTCTGACAATCGAAGAACATGCGCTAGTTTCGCTATTATTCATGTGAAAATGTAGGATGCGGAAATGTGTCGGAAACGAAGGAAATATGCGCAAGAGCCGTGTGCATCAGACAGCCTTCCTCGCGACAAAATCTCCCGATAAAATCTTCAACCGGAAGCGATCGCGCGCGTCTCGGTGCACCTTTTATCGAGGCCGTCGAGAGACGGGGATGCACGTGCCCGCCCTCTTAAAATCCAAGTCCTCATTTGCGCACCCCTTCTTCCCCCATCCACCGAACTTTCGACTGCAGCCGACGTCGTAGGCTAAAGCGGCAGCCTAAGCGGATTTTAGCCGGGGATAATCGCCGGTGTAAACGGGATTTAGGCGGCGATAATGACGTAGGAGAGACAGAGCGAGCGAGCGAGAGAGAGAGAGAGAGAGAGAGAGAGAGAGAGAGAGAGAGAGAGAGAGTGTG